TATGTGTGTACACCTAATTATCAGGTAGCACAAAAAATCAATTAGACTAACGTTTGTATATCGTAGATTGTATATTATACTGTTGCATAACAGTTGAAATGCAAAAACAAAAAAATATTACGATTTGGCATAAATCTGTTAGAAAAAAATAAATTCCCCCCTCCTTCAAAAGAAAAAATAAAAAAAACATGTTGAAACAATCTTATTCAATTGAAATCGAAAACCGAGCGAGTGTGTATGTATCTGATAAATGCCATGTGCAAAATTCATAGTGTTTAGCTGTTAAATAAATACATTCACTGTGCGTTTATAAACATATAAGTACATACATATGTTGTTCGATCGTCGCTCGATCGTGTTTAGTCAACTATTGTAATGTAAACGCGTTCTTGAGTGATTATATATGATTATACGCGATTATTTAGAAAATTAATCCAGTTAATTAGAAAAAAAGTGCCAAAAGTAAACGCGAATGGCGGATCGAATATGTTTTTCGGCTCCTGGATGTTTTTTTTCCTTTTTCTTTTTAGATTTTTTTTAGTTTTTTTCTTTTTTAATTTTTTATAGTTGCTTCGTTTAATAATTGTTTAAATTGCGATAAGACATGAAAAAGTTTTCGCACGATTCATTCAACAATAATGATCAGTGGCCAATTGAACTATAATGCATATAATATTATTGCAATTGCATATCTTTTTTTATTTTTCAAATTAACAATGAAAATAGATATATAATGATAAAATATAATCATTCTATATCGGGATTAATCTATCTGACGCCAAAGATTTATTGTTCAAACAATCTATTGCGAAATTTCTTATTTCTTTTTCTCACCTTTCTCCCTCTTCCTCTTCTTCCCCTGTTTCTTCCTCTTCTTTTTTCCCTTTTCTTCTGTTTTTCTTCTTCTCGCTTTCTTCTGTTTTTTTATATAGATAGAACACATGTTAATTCCAAAATCTATTTTAAATTCAATCAACAAATGTATTATATATTGTATATTACATAGTGTACAAATTAATTCAAATTGGATGCGAATTGGGCCTTATACCATGGATTACCTCAATCATAAGCAACTTGCCAGTCAAGTTCTAGTTTGCGACTACAATAAAACAAACGTTAATAAGATTTTAAACCAATTTCATAAAAACAACTCATTCTTCAATGTTTAACAAATATAACAAATCAAATGTGAAATTGAAATTAGATGTTCATTTTGCATTATTGTTATGTTTATGCATGATATGATTTGTCATTATCTGATAATAAATTGAGAGTAAGAATGGCATTATTCAATCAAGAATAAATCAAAACATGGAATCAAATTGATATTAGAACACTGCGTAAAACGCGATTACTGCCTTTTCTTAAATTTTCGATCTTTCGTTCGACCAAATTATTAAAAAAAGTGGAATTTTCTGTTCTTCCTTTTATTATTTCATAATCATTTTTTTCAATATTCATTCGCATGATTGTGTGAAAAAAACTTATTGATTTTTCTTTCAGGTTTAGTATTTATTATATATGCATATCTTTCAATTTTCAAATTGACAAATTCTAATTATATGTATAAGTTATTTGATTAATATATGAATTAGCTTTTGTTAAAAGTTTTAAATGGACAAAAAAAGAGTTGAAAAATAAGGAAAAGGTGAGAAGCTTGATTTCATTCAAATAAAACAATTTGAAAAATTGTTATTAGGGAAGAGAATATTTAGAAACATAAATGTTAGATAGAAAACATAGTAAATATAAAATGATATATGATCCTTGATCATATTTCATCTCTTCGAAACAAAAGAGGAAATTTTTGTGACAATGTATTATTTGATATGTTGTGCGTTAGAATATACAGTGAAAATATATGCGTAGAAATGATAGATAAAATAAACAAAATTCTATTGATCAAGTCAAAGAAGTAAGCGCAAATATAAGAATATAAAAAGAAAAAAAAAGAAGAAAAAAGAAGGTAAAACAAAAACGAACAAATGATAGAGAGAAATTTCACGATCGATTATATCCTATCCTTGTAAATACATGATATATTTTTTAACTTTTTTTGCTTGTTATATATACACAGAATTGTTCTATTAAGAAGAAAATTAAGAAGAAAAATGGAAAAAAGAAGGAAGATGAATAGAGCAAGATATTAAAAAATTTTTTTTAATAAATACTATGTATTTACAAATGATAGAAAACAAAAGGAGGGGGGAGGAAAGAAGAGGGGAGGGGAGGATATATAACAAACGAAAAAAGAAACGAACTCCGTTTGAAATATAATTGCAGTTTCGCGATGATGCATATCATTCATTGTCGAAAATCGCATGAACAGATCCGCATAGTTAGATTTGCTTAACAAGATATTTGCATTAGTCAAATTCTTGTAGATAAGTTCGTGAAATACTATTTTGATCATACAGATTTAATGCACTATCATTTACTTATTGTTGTATTGCTTATTTATATATTATATTTTATCGATCAAATCTCATAAATCCTTAATGAATATGTTATTTGCTTCATATCTCATTCTTTCATCTCGAGTCTAATAATCGACTCAGTCTTATCTACGTATCTATTTTATTCTATTATTTTATTCTTTCCTTGCCAACCCAAGAATGAAATACATCCATTAACTTTTTAGCTATAAATTCGATATCGCTATGTGTTTTCTTCGAAATATTGTTTTATAAATATTAATATCGTTGATAAATTGATCGAACGGAGATATTTATTTCCTGAATATTGTTTTATGCTCGACATACGTTGTATATCCGAATAAAGAGAATTTCGTTTGAGAAATGAATTTTTTATTAAATTTTATTTCCCTTTTATTTTTTATGAAACATTTATATAGTATTCATTTTGACAAATGATATTTGATCGGATTAAGAAGACATGCTGATTACATTGGTACGTTCAAGAAGCTGAGTGACTGTTGATGCTAATTTATATGTAATCTGTTTCGTTAACAATCGAGTCTTGATTCCAGCTGTATGTAATGCCAGTTGATAGAGATCGGCATAGTACTATACATAAAAAAAAAAAAAAGACAAAAGATAAGTATAAAATAAAAGAATTCATTTATTGAAACAAATTGGAATTGCAGGAATTGTATGATAGTGGGATTAAAAGCTTATGTCTCAAGAATTATAGTTCGTCAATGAGATATTAACAAAAATATTTAATTTTATTGTGTATTATATTTAATGTAAAAGAAATTAGTGATGAATATATGGTAGATATACAAATGCCTAGTGCAGCTGTTGAATAAAAGATAAAGATAATCTTTAAGATTATCACTTTGTCTCTAGAAGAGACAAGCCGACATCACTGAAAAAACAGATTTTAAGTAATAGATTAATTATTAACAGTTATGATCTTGAATTATTGCAATAGATCAGAAATCTCATTTTTTTATTCTTTGTTGTTAGAAGAAAGATAAATTGTACTATTTTTATATTATATATATATATATATATAACATTTTATAAGCGTTATTATATTGAAATAAGTAATAATATATAATAATACATAATATTTTATACAATAGTTATTTTAATATATAATATATAGTCAATAATATCGATTCGATATTATAAATATTAGATAACAATAGATTATAACAATGAATCGGTATTATTCGTCATTTAAAAATAGAATTTTTTAAATACGTTTCGCTACTGCATCTTGTGATTATTAGACCATTTATACTCTATTCGTCATAATTGGATGTATATAAGCAATGCTCGTTTAGAAAATTTTATTTCTATATCTTTCAATTGATGATTCGTAAGCTACATGTGACTCCTCTATTTACTCCTCCTTCCCCCCCCCCCCCCC